TCCCATCAGATGTTCAAAAACAACTAAAACATGATCGGGTATCTGGCATGTTTATTTGCAACTTTAAAGACCTATAGTCAGTTCACTGGCCTGCTACAGATGTATTGTGTAATAATGGTAGGAAATAAGAAGGGTAGAGAGATAAACAGAAGGTCATATAAGGAAATTCACACTGGGATAGGATCAATTACCCTCGGACCTTGCTCTCTTTCTGAATAACAGCACTGATGAGTAAAATTGATCTTTTTTTTTTTTTTTTTGAATCTGTGACACAGGGAAAAAGGTTAATATGTATCACAAGCATGAGTGGATGAGCACATTAAAAATTTCATTTTATACATATGCCACTGAACTCATTGTGCCCCAGATTTTACAGAAAACCACAACTCTGCTTCTGTGGATATTAATGCATCTTCTGATATAACATTACAGAAAAAGAATCTCTAAAGTGACAGTTTCAGAAAAATGGCATACCTTTATTCCAGTTCAAGAATATTCTCCACTACTGAGCAATAATCAAAAGGCCAGATCTTTGAGATAAGAGAGTAGAGGGAAAAATTAATTGCAAATAATTTTCTGATATGAAAATTTTGTCCTGAAGAAATAAAAGGAGAGGAGAAAAAATGCTAAGCATTCCCTAGGGAGCTGTTTCTCATTGAAAGTAAGGTAAACTTAGTTTGCTATCAGAAGTGAGTAGTCTCAATTTATTATAGTAAGAGAATGCATAAATTGTATTGGCACTTTTGGGTAAACGTGCCCAGTATCTGCGTAAACCCTCATTGTCCAGGAAATTTACAATACCCATTGGAGCATCCATGGTAGGCTGCATATCTTGTGATAAAAAATAGCACCAGCAAAACAGCGCTTTACAGTGCATAAGATTCTTAAATGTTCTAAGTGAACTATTCTCTGAGGGTTCAATCTTTTTTTCAGCTCCTGGAAAGTGTTATGTAACTTCTGAAAGAGGCCTCTAAGACATAACAAATTAGGCAGAAAGAAAGAATGTGGTTTTTGTTTTTGTTTTTTGTTTTTTTTAACTCAGAGAAGAGAGATACTATGCAAATGCACATTTATATAATAATGGTTTGGAATATTACAATAATGACATGTTCACATGCATTTTCCATCAAACTAACAAATTTTGACAAATATATCCACCCTTCTTTAAGCATCTGGAAAAATATTTTGATTCTTTCAGAGTAAAAATAATAAAAAAAAAAAGTACAATTTTAAAATTCAGTACATAGACACGGCCTTATTGGGGAGAACTTTCATCTTTTCTCTGATTACCTAACATAAAATGATTTTACCCCCACATTGCCCTGGGAAGTTTTTAATGGGATATGCAAAATCATATATTTCTTATTAGGTAAAAAGTGTAAATTTGAGATATTACAAACAAATGGAGAAAAGGTTAAAAAATTATCAATGACAACATCCTAAAAAACAAAAAGAGGAGAACACAGAAAACAATGAGATGAGTTATGTAGCATCCGATCTACAAAATAAAAGCACAACCCAGAAAGCACTTGGCACCATGTTATAATAGAAATTGCAACATTTTTCTGGGCAGAATAAACTGCAAACAACCTTGTTTTCATTATAAGATCTTCATAAGTACAACTCCCAGACAAACAAAAAGGCATCTTCCCTGGGTTGGCTCTCTAAAATTGCAGGAAATTATTACAACTTAATACATTTACTTTGTAAAGCAAAGCAATTCTATTTCAGCTCTTGTTCTGTCTTCCTTACATGAGTACAGATACTGCATAAATTTGTTGTCTGCCCTCTTGTTCATACTCTTAACCCTCTACTCTCTCTGAACAGTACTTTTCAGTATATAATAAAATAGCAACAAAGAATCTCGTGTACCTTAAGAATCCAGTTGGGGAAAAGTACCATAATCTGTCTTTTCCATTTTTTTCTTTAAAACGAAAGTTGTTACACAAATAGAATCTAGAAGGTGATTCAAGCAACTCTTAAGTTCTGCTGGACTGCATATTTGGTATAGTCCTGTCACTGAGTCCTGACTTATATTTCCCTGAGTGTTTTAAACTCTGTATTATAAGGGTGAATATTCAAAGAATGGAGGTTTAACATTGTGGAGATTTTTATATAGAAAAAGCACAGGTTCAGGCACGTGAGATAAAAGTTTAACAACTGCTCATGTGGTCAATTATCTGGCTGAGGCTTTAATATTTATTTTGTCTGCTGAAGCCATAGAATATTGTTGACCTGAATCATAACATGCTGAGATTGTATATTGTTGCAGTTTATACAGGTAGATAGGAGCAAGCAAGCCCTAGATTTCAGTCAAAGTGCATAGATAAAAGTATTAACATTTGAAAATCCAAGGCACTTCTGTGGATAATAATGGAGTAGGGGAACATTCATGCAAAAGTCTATTTGGACTTATAGACAAAAACTGTTGTTTTGGTTTATGAAACCAAGGGAAGAAAATGTCTACCGAGATTTTTATGAAGTTAAATCTTTATTCTGAAGAAATAAAAGGAGAAGATGACTGGATTCAAAGATGACTGCAAGAGGAATATTATTTTGCAGTGACAGATACTTCTGACTATCACGTTCAATGTGACATCAAGAATTTATTTCTTAGCATTCTGCAAAACATTACTGAAAACTCTCTTAAGGCAATCTCTGTAGTTTCTTCCTTTAAAGACTTAATATAGCAAACAAATAAATAAAACTCTCCTTGAATGCCAGTCTTTATAGAGTTATGAAATCCAGAGGTAAAAATAGCAGCTGACTCGTAAGAGCATTCTGATTATTTTTAACAGCTGATGCTCAAAAACATGAGTTTTCAGAAGTGTAGACTTGTCAGAGAGATAAGGAAGGCCTTTTCTGACCACCTTCTCTCAGCTATTTCCTAGAAGAGAAAGCAATAGAAATTCCATTTCTGAATAGGAGATAAATATGAAAATTGTAAATGCTAGATAACTCCATATTGTGAATGCACTTCCTAAGTGTTTCACTCATGTTTTATGTATAGAATGTATCACAAAGAAAAGATTCCAAAGAAGGGCACTGTTTACAGTACATTCAAAGGGTCATGTGCCAAGCAAAATAGTAATAATGCCTTTTTTTTTAAGATAAATTTCTTGTTATTACTTTAGTTAAACTGTCATTGTGTTAATTATAAGGGTAAATTGAAAGTTACATTTTTGGAGTCTGTATGCGTGAGAAGTTTTATGCAAGATGTTATAGCAAGTGCATACTTTTCTAGTCCTTAGGTGAAATACAAACATAATGCACAATAGGCCTTTACCTTAAAAGACACCTTTTTCATTTCCTTCAGCTACTTTCTCCTGTCAAATCCAGTTAAGAACAGACCAAACACTACTTTCTGCTCACAGTTCTTGGGGAAGTAATAAGAAAGCAGCAAGCGCTTATTAGTGCATACTTCTATCCAAAGCATGACATTGCTGCATCAAAGATTCACTAAAAGTTCTCACCCTATTATAAATCTTTGTCATTAAATACCTTATGTAGTAATAAACACATACAATACAGATCCGTATTAAAATATGTTCAAAACCATAAAATGTCAACTTCATCATGAACCACAATTTTAATACAGGTATTCAAAACACATCTTTATATAACTATCTTGTACTGAAAAGAACATGGCCATGATCTTCCACATGATATCACGGTCAATACTCAATGAGTTTATTTGAAACTTTGACTTAAATACAAAAATGCATAACAGTACACCTCTTTTATTTCAGGAACAACTGTCTGGCTTTTGCTATAATGTTCCATCACAATCTCAGTGGGATTGAAATGCTAATCTGGTAAAGGTCTGGTGTTTTACATAAAGAACATTTTTAATATATGAACTAGTCCTTCAAATTTTATTGTTTTTATTAACAATATATATTTTATTGATCTCTTTTGGAACTAGAATATGAAATACATTAATTTAGTCCGAACAAGTAGCATGACCTAACTTTTTTTTCTGCTGTAAATATAGTTAAATGTTGGAACAGATTCTTTAGGAAAATTATAGAGTCTCCTTCCCTGAAAGATTTCTCAGATAAAAAAGTCTGTAAAAAATAGTTTCAATATCACTGTAACTATCATATGTACCAGTGACAGAGTTAATGCTTTTCATCAGAGATGTCTAGTGATCTGTAAGATCAGAAGGAGTTCCACAGCACTGCCACAAACATATAACTGTAAAATAAAGCAAATTCCCCACACTTCCTACATACAAACAGGTATAAAAACAAAAACACACAATACAAACACATACATACACAAAAGCTCAAGAGGAGAACTCAGACAAACATTTAAAGTTTAATCTTATTTCCATCAGATTGCAAAATGCAATACTCAACCAAAAGTAAGTCTAATTTAGGTTTGGGTTTTGGAAAGATTGGTTGGTTTCTTGGATTCAAGAAATGTTTGGAAACACTTGGTTTGGTTATTCTGAAAGCCATTTTCCTTCTGGGCCTATGTGATATGAATTTCTGATTGTAATTTTCAGGCACACTTTGTTAGGAAAGGCATGAAGCAATAGACTATCCAGGAAGCACTGAAGGACATGCTCTTGATGTCATATCTGTAAAAGTAAGCATGAATTCCAATTTTTATGCCCCTTAAATTTTTATATTCTCCTCCAAGCAATAATTGGCAATAAACTTGACAGTACCCAGTACTCTACTTCACCTAGAAGTAGGCTAAATAGCCAACATCTTTTTCATTTATCCACTTTTTAAAAAACATTCCTGAATGTATGAAGGACAAATGTTAAAATTAAGTGGAATATAAAATAAAATGCAATATCTGTTTATTTGTAGTTTGCACTATGTTGTATATGCATGCCCTTGATATCTGAAAATTCAGTGATGACATACTACAGTTTTCCCTTTCTGTCAAGAAACACATGGAAATTCACATGGAAATTGTTCTCTTCAGTTCAGACATCCCAGACTGAACAGAGATCCATTTCTTTGAGATTTATATGTTTGATTTACCTTCATTGTTCCTTAGAGTAAAGTTGGGATTCAAAGAAAGCCCTTCATCAAGAGAAAAATGGAATCTTGCTCCATTTGCAGAGTTATCTTTGTCAGTTGCAGTGATAGTCTGAATTACCTGAAACAAAAATTGATAGTGAATGTGTTGAAACATTGACTTGACCCATATGGTGTCTGACCTGATGCTCAAGCTTACCTTTTTTTTTAATTTTCTACTTGGCTGTTGCTAAATTCAACAGATGAAACAACTGGGTCATTAGCTTGATTTCTCTGGCATGAAATATTTTAGAAACCACACTTCACAGTTATATAAAAACATCTAAAGGATCTATACTTTCTGATGTTTTGATATGCTCAGGACCTGGTACAGAGGCTATCACCATCGGCACTGCATCCTGATAACTTTGCGAATTATGTCTTCAGCTAAAGGTTAGTTTTTATGGAACCAAAAGGCAGGATGAACCAGGAGGTCTATGTGAAGCATCCTCTGCTTGCCATCATAATAATTAGATGCATGTCAATATTGGTTAGGAAAAATAACTATCTAAAACGGCAGGTGTATAGTGGCAGGTAAATATCTATCTATTTAAAATTCCTTTAAAAACTCATTTTAAATTGCCAGAGAACAGGAAAAACAACAGCCACTCCAGGGTTTAGTTTGGTTTGCCCAAAAAGGATCAGAACTAGATCTAGCAACAACATATGAGAGAGGTATTTTTGAAATGTAGGGCTTTGACTTCAAAAGCCCTGGTGGTTTTTAATATTTACTTTCAACTAAAATTGATCTAAGGTTTTGGAATGTGCGACCAAACATCATTTCTACTTCTGCTTTGGTTTTCATGCTAGGTCTTAAAACTCAAGTGCTAAAGTGTAATCCAATAAAGGTTGTTCTTGTGATATAGGCAGTGAAGCCCATAAAAACTGCTGCACAGAGCTGACAGATATCCTGAAGGAAATGTAAAAGGGGGAGGGAAAGTGCTCTTTTCATGAGAATTTTTCTCTTCAGAGTTCAGCTTTAGTCTGTCTGGACTGAACCTGAAGCATAAATGGTACAGGCTCAAGTGGTTTGGTCTGTTTCAAAACTGAAAGACAGCACATCATTCCCTACCTCCCTACCTTCTCACATAAGAGCAGCAAAACAAACACATTTTGAAGCCGTGTGTCGATTTGCACTGGGGCAGAGTCAATTTTCTTCACAGTAACCAGTATGGGACTGTAGGTTTGATTTGTGCTGGAAACAGTTTGGTCCCAGAATAGTTTTGATATTGCTGAGCAGTGTTAGACAGTGTCAAGGGCTTTTCTGCTCTTTGTATCACCCCACTAGCAAGAGGATTGGGAGTGCAGAAGTTGTGAGGGGACAGAGCCAGGACAGCTGACCCCAACTGATTCAAAGGGTATTCTAGACCATGTGGCTCACATATAAAGCTGGGGGAAGAAGAAGGAAGGGGGGGGGGATTTTGGAGTGATAGTGTTTGTCTTCCTAAGTCATTGTTGTGACGTGTGATGGTGCCCTGCCCTCCTGGTGATGGCCAAGCACCTGCCTGTCCATGGGAAGTGGTGAATTAATTCCCTGTTTTGTTAGCTTTTGCTTTACCAATAAACTATCTTTATCTCAATCCATGAGTTCTCTCACTTTTACTTTCCCGATTCTCTCCCTCATCCCACTGTGGGGGAGTAAGTGAGCAGCTGCGTGTGGCTGAGTTGCCAGCTGGAGTTAAACCATGACAACTCAATAGGGTGTAATGCTTATTCTACTTACTATATACAATAAAGTACATTTTATTGACTAAACACACATGAGACAATAATATTTAGGATGGTTACCAAGAATATTTTAAGAGTTTGTCATAATACTTTTTGCTGAAGTGTAGCAGAGTAAGATCAATCTTAAACAATTCTCAATACCTATAAGTGTTCAGTTTACTAAAGTCAAGGCAATATTGGCTTAAAAGTTTGGCAAAAGCTAACTGTTCACTACTGAATTTTGCAAAGGTGGCAAAACTGTTAGTGAAGCTACCATGTAGAAACAGAGATACAAGATTTTCTTAGCTAGATATATTTAGTTCATAATTTTGAAAAGGTATGAGCTGAGACGAGGCAAGGGAAGACAAAAAAAAGGGGTGATTTAAGAATATGTTCAAAAGAGTCAATTTCTGTTATTATTCAAATAGTAAAAATACTGTTAAATGTCATTTGAGCTGTAAAAACTTCAGATAAGACCATAAAATTATATTAATTTATGAAATATTATTTTAAAATCCTCAAAGTTGTTAATCAGAGAAATATAAGTCAATTTGCTGTGCACATTCCACTTTTATTTGCCAGCCTAGTAGACAAATTTTTGTGGTGTTGTCCTCTCCTACATAAAACATTCAGTGACATTTTAGAGAATCTTGCATCAATAGCATGTGGAGGAGCCCAGCTGGTTCTGGGCTCTCAGTAAACTGAGATGTCAAAGATGGAACTTCTTACACCTGGCAGAGGGTTAACCACGGACAGTAGGACTGTAACACAGAGTGGGTTTCCTGTAAAATGTTAACCTATTGTGTTAGGACATGTGGCTGTATGTCCAATCAAGAGTTGTTATGAAGTTGTAAACCAATGCTGTGTGTACATGTGTCACCCAGAACCAGCTGAGCTCCCCCACAAAAGCATGCCAAAGAAATACATTTAATTGAGGCTTCAGTGTCACAAGACTAGTTCAAAAATTATTTGGGTTTAAGACTAACTTTATAACTCAAAATATACTGTCTACATTCCCTAATTTCACACATGGAAATTCACGCGGCCACAGAATTCACCCATATATGTAAAAAATATAGCATCAGATGTTATATAAATTATGCTTTTCCATGTAGAAAATAAACACTATGTTTAATAGGACAGATCAGAACAATTTTAGAGAGCTGTTTTTAAAAAGGAAGTTCACACTCTTTCAAAAAAGATTTATAAGACATTCACTCAGAGGTAAGAAACGAAATATGTGTCCTCTTGACACTGAAATGTACTGTTAACCCTTTTCTGTTTATTTTGCCAACTACTTAATAACCTATTAGCAGACATTAACAGGCACCTTACCAAAGCTGATTAAAATAAAAATGTAGACACGTAATCTCAGCTGCGGTAAAGCTCAACTGACAACACTGATAGAATGAAATTGAAAGGTTATGTTTGTTTTTTTTTTTCAAGGCAAGACTTGGCAACATAAGGGAATTCCAAAAACTGAGGAGACCTAATTACAGAGGACAGAGATCAAGTGTTAAATTTTCGTCAGATCCTTTTTTAGAACTGCATCAATAAGCAAGCAAATATGCACACGACAAACATAAAGTAGAGGCATTCCTTGCCATCTAACATTAATTTCCTTGGTGGAAGACTGCAAAATGTCATTTTCCTATACTGGCTAAACTTCACAATCATTCACAAAATCAGTATATGTCTAAAAGTCAGTATTCTCCAAGTCTGAATGTGATTTAAGATAAAATCAGACCTGCTTTATCGACTTTAATATATGATATCTACCAGGCTTTACCTGGAATCTGTTGTAGGTACCTGGTCTATATTCTCAACAATACAATTACTAAGGGACTAAAGCTGTCAGTACATCATGGAAGTAATCATCTTCTCATATGCATTTTCTCCTTCTCATTCCTTAGGAGTGGTCATTTAAGCTTAAATATAAAGCTCTTAAGAAATTTTTAGTTCGGATTTTTGTTGTTGTTGTTGTTGTTTGATTGTTTGGTTGGGATCTTTTAAATAAAAAATAGAGTAGTGGAGGGAAAAAGAAGCAGGAGACAGAGGTTCTGCAATTAGGTGATACTTGGATTCTTTTCATAGAAGCCTCCTCTGATAATAAACAAGCAAAGACAAAAAGTCATCCAAAGACAATCTACTGGTTAGCTTATCTTTCACATAATAATTTCAAAATAGATGTAGTGAGGAAACAAATAAGAACTCTTACAGGACAGTGCAGAGCTGGAGCCCAACTTGAAAGCCCTAGTCAAGCATATGTTCCCAGCGGTACAGAGTATGTTCTTTAGGGATAAATCTTTTGAAGCATTCCCACATGATAAAAAACTCAGAGTAATGTTACCTTTCCAGTGATTCAAAACCACCCAGTTGGGAATGCTTTTTAGCATATGGTACACTTGCCGTGTTCTGCAATCTCTGTTTATTTGTCCCTCTCTAATATTTTTGAACAGTCTTTTTTTTTTTTTTTTCCCTTAGACTAGATGGTAGCATCTTCTGAGCAAGATCCACGGACTTTTGAGTTCCGTTTTAGTTTTTGTATAGTGCAATAGTGTTACAATTTTTCTGAAACCTTCTTGTGCAATGCAAATAAAAATAGTGCATGTTATGTATGTTCTCTTAGTGTAAGTATAGTACGCCACGCGGGTCCAGTCTTTGACATTAAAGGACTGCTTGTAGAATCCCTCATGGTAGCATTAAACTACCATGTTACAGAACTATGGAGTCATTCTCACTTGCAACGGTAGCTCAGAGAGAAATACAATGCTGACCCAAATAGAGAGAGTAACTGCTATTGTACCATGTGAAGATCTCTCTCTTATGTTAGCATTTGTAAAACTACTATTGGAGAACTAAAACTGCTAGAAAACATTAGCTACTTACCAGCAACAACATCCCTCACAAACAGCATTTCTGAGCTAGCTTCACTGCATGCTCAAGCTTATTATTGGTTATAATAATTTAATATTTATTGCTAAATTATATAATTTAAAAAATACCATAAAAAGTTGAAAGCAATTGTAATTTATGCTTATGAGATTTTATCTTTCCCCCTCCTCAATATTTTACAAGTTCTAATTCTTCTGTATTTGGCTTTATTTGAGGTTTTCAGAACACTATTTTTATTTTATAAGGATTTAATAAGAGACATTCAGTTAACAGACAGACCGATTTAGATTTTCCAGGGCTTTGAAGGAAATCTCTCAATAACAGCACTGAAGAAAGCTATGCAGTTATTAGATAAGAGGAAAGGTCCTTGTGCATATACTTGCTCAAAAGACATAGAGTCTCTTCTGTAAATTGTCTATTCCACAAGAAGAGAAAATCACAGAAATTTCCTGTTTATGTTTGGCCATTTGTTGGTCAATATAATAATAAATGTCTTACAGAAGTATGATTATCAGCCCACTCAATCTACTTATGATACTGAATTAATCAAGGAAGAAGAAAGAAAGGGCTGACATCAAAGACTTTCCAATACTCAGTAGTCAGACAAAGACAGGTGAAATTAATTATACTTAGACATAAAGTCTTAACTTCACATACATGATGATGATCTCTGAGCTGACTATTACTTTTAATATTATTGGTGTTATGGCAGGCATTTTTTTTGCATTCAGTGCTTACTAGTGGTTAAAAAGCAAAGCCCCTTTTAGAAATTGCTGTGAAAGTACTAAAGAGCAGAGATCATCATATACTATGAAGCATAAACTATTACAAGAATTATAAACTACTGCATACCTGCATCTTGAATCTTGATTCCCCCTCAAGGTGAATAGAGAGGAATTGGAAAAAGTTCAAAGGAAGAAAAGATGAATGATCGAAAGTCTAAAAGGGCTCTATCACGGCTTGTCCCAGTTAAGAAGGACTCTTCAGTCTGGACAAGGGATGGCTAAGGGGCAATGCGCTAAAGATTTATGCACGGCACAGTGATAATAAACAGGGATCAACTGCATTTTCTCTCTCTCCCTCTCCCTCAAAGCAAGAACTGGTAATCATCAATTGAATACAGCATAGGAAGATTTAAAAGAAAAAAAAAAAAAAGGTGGTAGGTCTTATTGAAGCATCCAGTTAAACTGTAAAATTACAAAAGCTTATGCTGACTGTGGGAAAAGCTAGGCAGATTCATATGCCATTGTTATTAAAGGATTATTAAAAACACAGAAACCACATTTGGGTCAGGAAATGATCTGCTAGTGATCTGAGACGAGGGAAGTTCTTGGGTAAGTATCACACATGCTTGCCATATTCTTATACTGCTCTTTAGGTGTCAGCTTTTGGACATTGTTAGAGTGAAGATAACTTTGATCAGGTAATAGTCAAATGAAATATATCATTTTTATAATCTATGCTTTAAAATTTAAGAAATATGCCACTATGTATTTATGTGCACTGTTTTTAAGGATTTGATTAAAAAAATGTTATTACTCATAATATATTCTTCAGGGAAGATATGAGCTCATAATTGAAACATACAACCTGTGCAATAATGCAAAACTAGCATAGTGTGGTGAGTAAAAACTCACTCTACGCAGAAAAGCAAAGACACTTGGTAAAACTGTCAAACCCAGGAGAGCAGTGAAATGCATTGATCACAGGAGCAGTGGCTAGAATATGATTCAGCTATTTACTCTCATTTGAACCCTCCCCATGCTCATAGTTGTGATAAACTCATTCAACATCTGTTCTATAATGACCCTGCATAGACAAGGGCAGTCAACCTTCAAAAAATTAGGGTTCCAGTCATGTTTGCGAACCATTTCAGTGAGCTTTATTTGAAACCTTGCTACTATTTGGCATTTAGATGAGAAATGTTAAATCTGCTTCATTCACTTTGTTTAGGATAGTGGCTTGTCAAATTCTATCACTTATCTGACAAGATTAAAGTTTTACTTGCTTTTACAGAAGAGAGTTTGGGTTCTCTTTTTGCAATGACAAGAAAAATTTTCTCCCTTCGTCCTAATACAGTTAAAATGAAATCAAAAAGAACTATGACATGTTCCCCAAATCAAACTTCTGACATGTTACATTAACAAAGTAATTGTTCTTTATCACTGGGACAAAGATAACTGTGAGAGTTACCTGACCAGGCTTTGCATTTTCACAGACGATTACATCATAATCTCTGGCAAGCTCTGGAGGATTGTCATTGATATCCAGGATTCGAACCCCAACTGGAACGTGGCTCACTAGTTCAGGATTGTCTGCAAAACACACAAGGGTGTATTAAGCCCTTTGAAGTACTCAATATTCCTTGACATCCTCAATTTAAAAGTGGTTTATTACAGAAATTTAGGTAGCAATATATTAAAATACGTTTGCTGTGCTTCACTAACTGTTTTGAAAAAAATTGTAATTAAAAAAAGTGGGAAGTATGGTATGAGTCCTAAGTCACTTAAGTCAAATGCAAGTTATGATCAGTTGCTTTGCAATGAATGTGAAAGTGTCACCACACTACTGAATTAAATATAATGCAAAAAAAAAAAAAAAATCAAAGCATTTATTCTTTTTCACAGTTCCTTAAAGAGTTGACAAAACAAAATACAAACATAATAATAAAATATGAATGCATAAGCCTTTCCCAAACTTGAGTTCTGGTTTTTCACAAGTTATTATACTGTTTCTCAAAGTAGTTACTGGGTCTTTTTTTGCAGAAAGAAAGCAATGTCTAAGTACCAGTCTCTCAGTCTATGACCTGTACTTTCATGAGAGTTCACCCTCAGAAAACTTTCTCCCTCAAAGAAGCACAATAAATAGAATCCTTTCAGTGAGAATACACTTTCCATGACAAAATGGAAAAAAAGCCCAACAATTCTTTTCAATCCATAGTGCCCTTGTTCTTACTTCTAAATAATAGGTAATTTTATTTTATTGAAAGAATTATGCATTTAAACTTTTTATAATTAACTAATATACACCTTCTGGTCCATATAAGTATCAATTAATTAGATGACAAACTTCATCTGCCATGCACCAGTTAAATGAGACTATCAGTAGAAGATAGCAAAATCAACTGTTCAAATGCAATAAAATGCAGTATCACACACTGACATATTAAAAATTCATGTCTCTATGAGTGCTCATGAGAAGCAAAGGCAAAAAAAAAAGAGAAAAACATTAGTAGTCTAAATCTCATTTGTCTTGTTTATTTTGATAGTAATTACATCATGCTTCTGTCAAAGAGGGTCATTTGTAAAACACCTTATTTTTGTCACTCCTTTAGTATTCTCTGCTCAGAATTCTGGAAAGCATTGATTAGACATATACTTGGCTTCGAAGTGATCAGTGATCTAGGCTTGCAATGAAAAGATATTTGAGAACGTTGAAGTTTCTTTTGTCAAATGGAGAGATCTATTTCTATCTTCTCTGTTTTCACATGGGATGCTAGCCAAAGCGTCTAGGGCTTAGAGGTTCTCTCCAGATTTTTCTCATCGTCTTTTGAACTAATATGTTTATGTTCGCCTGATGATTTCACTTCATTTTGGAACTTAATCAATTGTCCCCATAAAATGGGAACTGAAAGGAGATCAAAAAAGTCAACACAAGACTTGACAGATAACAGAAGAACCTCTATTCCCATTAACATTAGCATTAGAAGTTAGAAGAACTGTTTGAACAGTTAGAACACTCAGAAGACATTTACAGACTTGCAAATTCTATTTTCTTGCTGAAATTTTCCTTAAATATTCTTATTTTCAGCTTTACCCTGAACCTATGACTATCTTTGTAAGAGGTAAACTAAGGGACTAAAATGGGCTATCTCAATTGTGTTCACACATGACAGAGGGTTTCTATTGTTATCCAGAAAATACCTTTAGTGGTAAACTTTGAGGAATGTTAAAGTGCTGAGGATACGTGAAGTGAAGGTGAGAAAGAATGACGCTTTGCTGTCCACTAAGGATTTCAGAGAAGGGAACCATTTATCTACTTTTGCTCTTACTACTGAAGGAATCAATCTTCTCTCCAGGAGATTCTTTGCAGTATGATCATTAACACAAAAATATGTTTGTTTCTTTCCTGGAGGTAGGTCAAGAAGCTGTGCAGAACAGCATAAGCAGTAGAGATTTAATATTTCTTACTGCTCACTTAAATATAGCTTACAAATGATTTAGGTAACTTCCTTTGTCAACATTATCAAACAATGCAATCACAAAAATCCTGTAATTATAATTACAGAACGTGGTATCTAGGGCTAAAAGAAACTTTGGTTTTGACTATTTGTTGGGGAGGTTGTCACACGTAATTTGTGCGATTTGTGAATTAGAAAGTGGTATAAATGAAAGGAAGGACACAATGCACATAAAGAGCACACAAAAGCATGGAAAGGAGATAAAAGGTGGAGATCACAGTAAAGGGTTAAAGAGGAACAAATTCATTTTGGAGGGTATTCAAAACTATAATGAAGAATTTGAGGATTTTAATACTAGAGAAAACTCAAAGGAGTTTTAGCCAGAAGCCAAAAAAAGGCGGTGATTATCAGGTAATCATAGGATCACTGAAAAATCTTAGTTGAAAGGGACTTCTGGAGGTCACTGGTCCAGTCTCCAGCTCAAAGCAGTGCCATCTTCAAAGGTACAAGGGGACATAATACATCTAAAATGAAGGGAGCCAAAAAGCAGGAAGAGCACAGGGCAGAGGGTACCAGAGATAGAGGACTGCTCTTTAGGTCTGGTATGTTAGAATAGTCGCTGTGGAAGGAAAAATCAAACTTTTTAGTCCAGTGTGAGGCAAAAGGGTAACTATTTTTGTTTCAGTAGAGTGTAGCCGACCTCTTTGCCTCACCTTAAAGATGTCCTTTTGTATGCCAGTCACTACTACCCAGACCAGTCTTACTCTAGTCAGTTAGATTTGCAGTATTTTCACAGAGAGATTTTATGGAGATTCAGAAAGTTTACCTTTATTTCTTCTGCAGCTGCTTTTCAGTATAAAGAACTTATAAATACCTCACTAGTTTGAAAGAGTTCTTAACACACGAAGTATTATTAGTATCTCTCTGGAAGCAGTTATATCACGGGATCACTGACATTTGCAGGCAAATTTCCATACTGACAGCCTGCTCACTACAAAATGCTAATAGGGACAGTATTAACACCACTTACAAAAACAGCCTGGAAGATTGTGCATATAACATAGATTTGTATGCAAGATGACAGAACAGTTTGTAGTGGGGGAAGAGAATGAGAATGAATTGAAGCATTTACAAGTTTTTTGCTTTTTTAATTTTTCTTTTATGTTTTGGTTTAGGGAATCAATATAAACTACAATCTTTTTCAGGTATATAACTCCCTTATGATCTCCAAACCACTCTAATAACTGGCCCTATTAATAGTACATTTTTGTTAATTAGACATATTTCTTGCAGCAGTTTGGCAGATTTCCAGTTTTAAGATAATCAGTGCTGACATAAATTTCAGGCCTGCACATTATAAAACATTCTGTGTCCTATTAGCATTATGCCTCTAGAGCAGCTTTTTCAAAGTGAATGTTCCCTGTTTTAAGGAGTAACTGAAGCAGAAACATTGATCTGATTCACCTATGCTAGATAGTTGCTTTCTTATGCTTGAGACTTTTCCCAGATTAGATTTTTTTGCAGTATACTAAAAATCTGTAAAGTGAATTAATTTCATTATCAGATCCTCCACTGGTGAGTCCACTGTAAATTTACAGAAGACCCTATCAGCAGCCAGTTTGAAGCCTCGAATCTTTTATTAGTTTCTTCAGGGCCAACTTTAAAATCCCTATTTAAGAAGAAAGCTTTTTTAATACAGCTACTGCTGTGTGATATTTCCTTTTCATTCCAATGGCTTTATGAAAATAAACTCTACCTAAATGATTCTCAGGATAGAGGTCTTGAGATGAATAGTCATTTGTGGCTTTGTTTATTTGCTTTTTGTCTGTTTCATTTTCTTTTTTTGTTTGTTATTATGGTTTTTTGTTTACTTTGGTTTGTTTTTTTTCCTGGATTGGTAGAGTTAAACAGTTATGAACTATTTAACTATAGTATACAAACCTCATTTTGACATCTTTTCAAGACCGTATGAGGCAAACCAATGCATAGGAAATTACCAACTAACTATCTGTACCCTTACTTTTTAAAGAAAATTATAAAGAGCTCATCACACTTCTCTAATAAGGATTAGTTTTAACAGATTAGAATAATAAACACAGATCTAGGAAGGATAAAATATACTACTGAAACAGATCTAAAGTGATGAAATAATGTCTAATATATAAGTGACTATGGCAATATTCAGAAAATACTGGGTTTAATTCAGGATGGTGTACATGTGATAAACTAAATTTTCTGGCAAGTTGAAAATTATGCAAAACCTAATAATAAGTGTAATTTTATAGTCTGCTTTTTCAGCTAGTGAGTATTCTAAATATTGTTACCAGTAGTTGGTTAGAAAATATTTTTACTTTTTTTTCTTGTAGCAAAATATAACTTTTCACTGATGAACACAAACCTAAAGGCACTGCTCACTTCTCTTAGATCATGCTAGTAGTGATAGAAGCAGCAGCTACAGGAGCAATAGTAATGATTGTAGCACTGCAGCAGACTGAAAACATTTATAGCTCTCAAGCTGGAAACCCCCTCTGCCTTAATGCAAGCAAAATTCCGCAGCTCATAGATGATGTTGGTGCTCACCTCCAAATAATCAGTGTATCACAAAATATACTGGTTCTGTGGCCAGAAATGTCTGTTTTGAGACTCAGTTACTGATTCACAATGCCATGCGATCCCAAAATCTATACCGACCTTGGTAATCAAAAAAAGCTGTAGCCTAGCACCATCTTCAGATGACAATATAGGAATATTTTCATCATAGTTTTCCCCAAAGAAACAGAGAAAAAAATATAGCATGCTTAGAAGTCAATAATCAAACCAATATAAACAGGGAATAAATACCAAAATTGGAATTAGAAGCATCACTTCTTGAACTAGCTGCCTTTCAACAACTATTGGATTTTTTAAATAGTTTTGTGTAGGCTTTCCTTATCACATTGATTAGTACATTTAAAAGAGTGGCAGATACTGCTATATCCACACAGATTTTAAACACTTTCAGGGATAGCGATTCCACTGCTTTCCTGGAGAACCTGTTCCAAAGCTGGACCACCCTGTCAGTGAAGAAACTTTTCCTAATATCCAGATTAAATAGCTTGAAATTATTTCCTCTTGTCCTATTGCTTGTTACTTTGG